ATACATGTGATGGTCAGTGATCAAAGACAACATAGTTGGCTCATACATGTGATGGTTCAGACATCAAAGACAACATAGTTGGCTCATACATGTGATGGTTCAGTCATCAAAGACAGCATAGTTGGCCTATACATGTGATGGTCAGTCATCAAAGACAACATAGTTGGCTCATACATGATTATCAGTCATCAAAAAGACAATATAATGGGATCACAAATTGCGTAATCAAATATGCTGTAAACCGCTTTAGACTTTTTTGTGCATAGGATTTCATATATATATTCATAAAACATTTATCTTGAAAGAGCTTCATTCAAATCCAAAGAAGATATTTTCATTGGTAATGCACATTACCCATGAGTAATGTGAAAGACATATCCCATAATAAAATGCTTGAAATTATTGTGATTCGTTCACTGCAACAAATTTAAGAGAATGCCAGTACAAGTCGTATCATTTTCATGCGACACACAAGTTAAATTAAATGAAAGAAATCTTAGAAATAACTCCCATGTGCTTGAGAGTATTGGAGACATTAAAATTAATTCAAAATACACAGACTATCTATGTATGACGTTTCATTGAAATGTGATTAAAACCAAAAAATTATGAATTAATATGCAAATTAGGTAATTAATATGATCTGATTTTAACCCAAAACTGAGCAGATCTGTGCATTGTTCTAGAGCATCTATTTACCAAGTTTCATTGAAAATGATTAGTACTTAAAATGTCAAAAGCTAAAAATTGATTAATTATTCAAATTAGGTAATTAATACAACCTATCAGGTCTGTGCATTGTCCCAAGACATCACGTACTGAATTTCCTTGAAATGTGATAAGTACGTGAGATATCAGTGGAAAATCCGAAAATTGTCCAACTAAACATTATGCAAATAAGGTAATTATTATGCATGGATTTTTACACAAAACTAATCAAATCTGTGCATTAGCCCAGAGCATCTATGCGTCAAGTTTCATAAAAAACCAATGTACAGTTCTTGTGATCTTATATAGAGTTGCGTTTTAATTGGAGTTTAATTAAACTCAATTACAATGCAATACACTGTAGAATTGCGTTTTAAGTTTAAATTAAAGTTGAATATCCTGTGACTGAGCATAGAAATGTTTGCAAAGCTTAGTATAGGTATAGTACAGTTATATTAATATAAATTGAACCATACCTTCCCCCTTTACTAAACCTAAGCTTCGCAAACTTGACTTAAATTTGATGAAATATTAATATACAAGTCAGTGGTGTAAAGTTAAATTGAAGTTGTCACAATGTTGTTACCAGACAGGCTAACTGCAAAGACTCACATTGTGTTCTTTGCACGCAGAAGTCAAAAAGCAAGCTAGTGTCAAGAAAAAGGTTAAAGGGTGACTGACGAACATGGGCCATATTAATCTGCTAAGGCTTATGGTTGGTCAAGTTGTTTTCAATTGCCATTTGAAATTTATAAATATTTTATATAAAATAAAATCACGCCTTCATGAAAACTGGTATATTCACTTTGACTCAATTAAATACAAACACTATTGAATGCCATTAATGTTGTTTATCAATGCTACAAAATAATAGCAACATTACACATCAAGTCAGAACTGCCACCTATAAATATGGCATATTTATGATATATTTGCCAGCAATGAACATATAAATAAAATCAAGCTAAATAAAAACACAGAAGAAAACAGAGCAAATCAAGGGTCTTTGTTATTACACACAAATATTGTGTGAATATTATTATGCATTATAATTAAATTTCTATGTATAATGTTCAACAGTGCTGTATGTTTATAAATCACAAGATATCATATTTGCTGCTAGAAGTGCTTACGTAAATACACTGATGTTCACAACCACAGTAATTAGTTTTAAAACCAATTTAATTTCCAAAAATGTTCCTTTCTTGCGCTTGACACAAAGTTAGGTAGCTGTAAGTAATTAACTTTATAAAAGATGGTGCAGTGAACATCAGTGTAACAAACAGTGACATATAAGCTTTCCAGTTTATACACTGTACCACAGTCCCTCTATATAGAAGGACTGTGATCGTACATTGATGCTGCTGTTACAGCAAATACAACAGTGTAAACGATTCTTAGTATCTCAAATACAAGCATGTATGAATTTGGAACGTTTTCATTCTGTATCCCACATTGCATCATGGGAAACATTCAACAGAGAAGCCAATTGGAAATAAACTTTGAAAATGTAATTCATGTTGCATTTCATCAGCTATAACAAATAGAATGGCAGACATGACTCTACTTTGCAGGGATTGAACTTGAGTTAACGGGACTCAACTTTTTTTTAAATTACTTAACATACTGTACATGTTCTATCAGTAGTGAATATGCTTACTTTTATATTACAAAGATATTTCTATGTTTAAAATAAGACATACACATACATCAAATGCGCTTAATAGAGAAAATGTGGTATTGGCTATAGGAATAGCAAAGGACACCTGCAAACTAATTGGAAATCAAGGTAATTGCCTTTAATGCCTCTGAAGTTCAAGGTCTACACTTGTATTAAGCTGATGAATATCTTTCCTGTGTCTTTTTGCAGTTCATATTAAGAATACAGAATGTGTTCAAATGTGTAATTGCCACTGATCGCCATGTTGTATTTGAAATAAAAAGTTTTGGATGAAGTTTTATTTCCCTTCAAACTCATGGAGAAAAACATTTACTGAAAAAGGGAAATTTTCGATAAAATATGTAATATATATTCAATAAAACATCAATATTTGAAAGATATGAAAAGTTTTCAACAACAAAAATCTTCATAATTTGTAGTTGTTCTGACCAGTTTAAAATAGCATGCAAACCATTTTACACCATGCATAATTTAACAGTAGCATGAGGTAGAATAATAACATTTGCAAACACTAAAACAGACATAAGTTTGTTATTTATACAAATTGAGCTAAAAATATTCCCATGTTTTTTTTTGCCAAGGACTTTTGTTAACAATCTTCAGCTTTTGATCATAACTTGTAAATAATATTAAATTCTGTCTGTTTGCTCCAATAGCATAATGATTGTTGTTTTTAAATTACAGACAGATTTTTAAAAATCCTCTAATTTAAGGATTTCAGCAACACATGAATGTTTGCAGCACACGAATCACTGCATATATTGGAGAATGGCAAAACAACAATCTCTCAAGACAAAATAACTGAAGACATTTGTTCAAACATGGCTGGACTATTTCCACCAATGAGATATCAGAATTCATGATCTGTATTGCCCATACACATTGTGAGAATCTTGTTTCTATTGTTTAAATTGCAACCAGTCTTGTGTGTCCAGCTAAAAATTGTATTTGTTTGATAATATAATTAACAAGTCACCCAGGTTACCTGATGATGGGTTATCATGACCTATGTCACTCATTGGTCAAGATGGCAGCACATGATGGGTATCAATGACCTATGTCACTCATTGGTCAAGATGGCATCACATGATGGGTATCAATGACCTATGTCACTCATGGTCAAGATGGCATCACATGATGTCACATATTGGTCAAGATGGCATCACATGTCATATTGGTCAAGATGGCATCACATGATGGGTATCAATGACCTATGTCACTCATTGGTCAAGATGGCATCACATGATGGGTATCAATGACCTATGTCACTCATTGGTCAACATGGCATCATATGATGGGTATCAATGACCTATGTCACTCATTGGTCCAGATGGCATCACACGATGAATGGGTATCAATGACCTATGTCACTCATTGGTCCAGATGGCATCACATGATGGGTATCAATGACCTACGTCACTTATTGACCAAGAATGCATCAAATGATGGGTATCAATACTGTAATGTTGCTTATTAATTGGTCAAGCTGTCATCACATGATGGGTATATCTGAAACTGTGTACCATGTACTCATTGATCAATATGACATCACATGATACATGTACGTATATCTGTGAAACTGTGTCATTTACTCATTGATCAATATATCACTTGATGAGTCTATCTGTTAAAAACTGTGTGTCATGTACTTAATGGCATCACATGATGGTAGAATTGCATTCTTGAGAAGATAACATTACTAGTATTTTGTCTTTGTTTCCAGCAGTGATCATCTTATTACCAGTGAATCCTTCATTTGTTTCAGACATAATTACGGTTAATAAAACAAACATTATCCACTTACTTAAAGTATACTTACAGTGTCAATTTGAGCTGTTTTTTTTAGAAACCAAAAAATAACTTAACTTTGTTCAAATTCAAGAGCTCTGAATTTAAAATGTGCATAGCACTTAAAATATAAAATGTTTGATTTATGCATCCTCAAACACAAAGCTGCATACTGTACAATTAAAATGAACTTGAAACATGATTTCTCCTTTTCATTCTATTCACATATTTCCATTGTTCATTCTGGCTATGAGTGATACTGAAAACCAGTCACTGAATTCAGTTTGAATGAGAAGTCACTGACAATAATTTCAAAGGAATTGTGCCCATGCAATGACATCCAGTTTTAAGTCGTTGTCTCTTGGCAGCATTTACAATGCTTGTCACAAATGCACTCCCACACGATAGAATATACACTTACAGAAGCATGTTTTACCAGATTCAAAGACATTCAAATTAGTTGGCAGATGATACACTTTACACTGTTCTCATGATAACTTTAATGCTTTATCTCTTCTGAGATTTAACATCCCAAAATGCCAGCGAGAAACATATGATGAGATTTGATCATTTACATCTGGTGAGATTCCATTTCTGCTACATTGTTACTGGAGCCTGCTTATATTCTATTATTTTTGCAGCCAGAAGATGAACACTCAATAAATATTGCACTTACAATTTAACTACATTATACAAAATTACACACCCACTGACACCCACTGACACCCACTGGTGAGTCAGCTTTCTTTCATTTGTTGGTAAACTTCAGACAAGTAATTTAAAATGAAAGCAGGCAATTGTGACAAGCATTTTCCCAATAATTTTAAAATTTATGCTGCCCTCTGGCAATGTGAGATGCAAATTCATATTTATCATAGCATTCCAACGCACAGATGTTACACTGAAAAGGTGATTTGAGACCATGACATCCCATATGTATGGTGTACATGACATTATCTGGGAAGATGATATGACAATGACTACATCGCCACACGTCATCTTGTGTTGAGCTATCACATAACATATTACTTTTCCATTGGCTGTTTGATGATGACATTCCAAGTGGCTTGGGTGACTGACCGGTTTTAGCTCGGAGCACAGCTTTTGCATTATTAGTAACTAATTTGAGTAACAGACTACTACAAGCATTTCCTGACTCTCGCCGTGGAGCTGAAAGGACATTCCAGGAACCTCGCTTATCTGGCTCCTCAATGAGTACATCCGGACTGGTAGATATAGGTCGACTTGGCATATTAACCTCTTCAACATCAGTGGGAGAGTTTGAAAGGCTGCTCCGTGATGATACATGGCCACTGTCCATTGAAAGTATGGCTGAAATTGCAGATGGTTGTCCACTTGATGTTGTAATGTTACTCGGTGAGCTATGTTCATCAGCTGACAGAGAAACTGACGTAGTTTGTAATGACATAACGTTAGATATCATAGGCGTAGCTATAACTGGGTCTACGGAGTCAATGCTTTTTTCTGCTGTTTGTAAATCATGCAGGCTTGACTTGACTGCATCATTAATATATTCATCTACTGTTGGAAAATTCTCCACAACTGGTCTCGCTTCCTTTCCATCTTCCTCTGGCAGGGTGTTAGTCAACTGTAAAACTGTTACTCTGTGTTTTTCACACTGTAAGTGCATGTCATATAGGGATGCGCTTGAAGTGGTAAACCTGCATGGCTCACATGTGTACACAGTCCCGCTGAGTTGACCCATTCCATTATTACCATTATGGTGGTTGCGTATGTGTGATGCCAATGCACCGGTACTGTAGAATTCGTCCCCACAGTGGAGGCATGTATTAGCATTTCGATGGCTTTTCATGTGATTTGCCAGACTTTGGTGACTTGAGAACACAGTGTTACATACACTACACTTGGTTTGCTTGGATCTACCTGACAAATGTTTGATTCTTATATGTGCTTGTAAATGGTCCTTTCTGTATGTTGAATGTGTACAGAATGCACATTTAAATGGTTTTATACCGCTATGTAAAATAGCATGTCGTTTGAGGGTCTGCTTCTTAGAAAACACTCTCTGACAGATATGGCATTTAAAATCTTTGCTTCCACCATAGTTGTGAGGAAAACTATTTGCAGCATGTTCATCCAAATGCTTTGAAAGCAGCATTTCATCATCAAATGGTAGATCGCAGACATAACAGCGAGTTGGTTCAGATCTAGTAATACTTGTACCTTCAACATTTCCCAACATGGCTACGTCTACTGGTTCTTCTTTTATTCGAACATCTGTATCTGTGTATGTACTTTGTTTCTCATATGATGCATCACTTGACACTTTTCCATCATCGGCATCTTTCATGTTTTGATCGTCTTCTCTTTGTTTTGAACTGACAGTCAAATCCTCACATACTACTTCAGCGGCCATTACTGCAATGGTAACTTCCAAAACAAAGATCAAGCCTGGAAAAAGGAAGTAAATGTTAATTTATGGATTTTATCAACGATAGTAAAAAAGCTATACATGTAGTGTCAGGTTATCTACAGTTCTTTAATTCTTAACAGAATTGCAACTTCACTAATAATGCTACCCAGTGGAGGGAACGCATGACGATTCATATCATCTGGATTACGCATAGCTTCTCTACGATTTACGCTCCGTATATTTTAAGCAAAGCTTGGACCCCCCAATACATTTTGCTGGAGTCGCCAGTGATGCTACCCATGATTTCCACCCAAATTTTCACATGTATATGTATCCTTTTCACCATTAAACTTTTACACCAAAATTTGTCTGTACTTTTTTCTTATATTCTTCAAATATTTCTGAATATGAACCCTAAATTTTGGAGCAAACAGAATTTTTTTTAGTAATTTTTATTTTTTTTACTCAAAAAATTCGGCTATTTTTGTCCCAATTTTCTGAAGAAAAGTTCAGATTATAATCTATTTTATTTTTTTGTGATTATCTACTGGTACTATGACACATACACCACTACGGAAACGCACTCTGTTTTTGATTGGTTATAGATTTAAAAGTATTTTGTCACAAGAGTATAACAGTCATTGAAAATGACACAGTCCGTTAAATTTTTGTTCTCTTTGTGCTTGTCATATTAAAGTGGACGGGTTGTCGCTAGTGTGTCCTTGAAACTTGAGTCCCAAGTAGCGTATATTACAGATTGTTTATTTGCAGCAAATTCGAACACGTGTTGTGTGACGACCCCACCTGTTTAAGACATAGCAAAGAAAAACGTAGATCCCAAGTGAAAGCAGGTCCAAGTTATCACATTTTAAACAAACAAGATGGCCACCGGTCAGCCATATTTGATCAAATTGCGAATTGAATTGACATGTACATGTATCCATTTATGACATACTAAATATATATGAAAATGATACATGGGTGACAGGTATATAGTAATATGGCAACAAATAAAAACAGCCATTATTCAGGCATCTTTGATCTGATTACGAAACAAAGTGACATGTATGTGCCAAATACAAGTGAAAATGGTACATAAATGGCCAAAAATTCAGATGGCTGTCAATCAGCCATACTTGATCCGATTTTGAAACAAATTGACATGGACATGTATCCTAACATGAAATAAGGTACAAAATGTATGTGCCAAATTTGAATAAAAACTGAAAAAGCATGTCCCAAGATACCACATTTAAAAAAACAACAAGATGCCTGCCAGTTGGCCATCTTTGATCCAATTGCGAAAGAAATTGTCATGAACATGTATCCTAACATGTATAATCTATGTACCAAGTTTGAATGAAAACTGACAAAGCATGTCCAAAATACAACATTTTCAAAAACAAGATGGCTGCCAGTCGGCCATTTTGAATCGAATCGTTAAACCTCTGCATGTGCATATGTCCCACATAAAGTACTAGGCACATACAAATAATGAACAGAATTGGTCCAAAGGATTCTGAAATATGACTCCGGACGGACGCACGGACAGACAGACAGACGCATGGAGACCGAATTATAACACACACTATAACACACTATAACTATAAGAATTGTCATCCAAGTAATAAACATGGTCAGTGAAATAGCCTCTGAAAATCTCTGAAAAGTTAGTGAGGACTACTCTATTAAAAAACGTCATTCTGCTAATGTTTAGTCTGCATATTTTTTAGCTATAATTAACATCACTGTAATATTTTACAGGAGAATGTATCAAATACGATTGAAATTTCATAATTTCATTTCAAGAATGTATCAGAAGAAACATAATGAGGACATAAATTTGTTGTTTGTGGTAAAATGCTGTTCAAATATCTGTGATGTTTTGGTAGGTCCTGGAGCTAGGAACTTTATTGGTTCTGGAGCTTATTTACATCATTTTTACACTGCATAGACGACGTGCATTTATTGAATTATTAGAAATGCAAATAAAAAAGTTGGTGTGCCATGACCAGAAACATGAATTTTTTGCCTTGGTATGTGCCGGTCATTTTTGTTGATGATAGTACACTAAGCAATCATCTAATTTTATTATTTTGATGATATGAATGATTTAGTTTTATGTTGGCAGGGAAACTATGAGTTTTATTGTTATTCCACATGTTTATGTGGCTTTAATTCAATAATTGAAATTAATAATGTTCTTTTAGAGTCACTGAGACACCTTGTGTGATTGAAGATATTGTCCTGCATTTTATAATTACCAGCAAAAGAATTATTTTTTAAATCAATTCCTACAACCTAGTTTTCTTTAATGAATCTTCAATAATGTGTTTTTTCCTTACAAAAAAATGTGATTAATAATGCATCTCACCGATGTACATGTAGAATAAATTATTCCAAAAGAATGAATCTGATCAGTGCTGTCTGTTAACTTGCATGTACCATAGTTCTACATGCAGTAGGCTGTAGCTTTACTGAGCACTAATTTGAATTAGGCCATGACTTGTCAGTAGAAGCAAAGAAAGCCTTGCAGATGTATACCACATTTGAGTTTAGACATTCCAGGACAAAGCTTATCTTAGTTATACATGTAATAAATTTCCCTTGATGCAAACTAACTCTGTATAGTAATCTGCTATTTCTCACTGTTGCATTTTTTCAGGAGGGCCATATCGCTGCATTTTGAGCGATCATACCACTTTGTGTGTTAACAGTTTTATTTTCGTGTTCAGGGGTGCCGAAACGTATCAGAGTAAACTGGTTATCGGTAAAAACTGAGGTGTGTTATTTTTGTCAAGTTTGACTCGACGTGTTATATGCATTGTTCATAACTATAGTCTACAGATTAGCTAAATTCTCCTGTAAATGTCATTTTTGAATTTCGGTGTGGTCATGGAGGTAATAAGAATTACCTATGTTTCGCAATAGTTGATCGGAATATGAATAGATCTTGTGTTATTTTGTGATAATCTTGTTGCTCCACAATGTTTACTCAGTACAATAAATGATAACCTAAACAAATGTTGCACGCATTACATTGTACTTCAAAAGAAAATGCCGCGTTGCCAGTCTGTTGTATTACTAGTCTGAGTACAAACTATCTCTCTACATGTAAGTATTTATATACTCGTATTCTCTATAGTTGAGTATTTTGCTGGGTTATTTTTTTCAAATAACAATTCTGTATCATTCCGAAATGAAAAAAAGAATTCTCTGAATGAACCCGAGATCATATTACAATTAACTCGTAGAATAAAAATGTTTTTGCTTATAAAGGAGGCGAAACAATTAGAGATATCAAAATGTGTCACACATTTTTAGTGTTTTTCTTTAATTATTTCACTGAGAGTCACTTTTTCAATTTATGTGTTTATCTAGAAACTTTTATGATGTTAATTGTGTGGTTATTTCATATAAATATGTCTGTGGTAGTTAAGAACATGCAACTTCAGTATGAACTATGCGCAAAAAAGAAACACCTACAGCTGAAACGGCCAGCTTTAAATAAAGCAGTTACCAAAAGGACCAGCAATCTGTTACCAGATGACAGCATGTATTTAAGAGGATTACCAAAATGTTCTTTTTATAGTCAGAATGGGGTTTTAAACCGATTTGAAAATACACAATTTGTAGCTTTCTGGCACACAGCAACTTGTGATTTACAATGAATATTTAGAGTTTACATCAACTATGAACTAGGACAAAAAACACACCACACGATTTCAGCTGTTGCCATGGTAGTACATGAACGTGAAGCTAACACCGGTTTATGACTAAAACCGGGCCCGGTATACAAAGTTCGCAAAAAACATTCAGACTTTAGAAGTCACTTCACTATATTACTAGCACATATTCTGCTGTTATAATTATTATTTCCCAGCATTTTGTGGTTGTATTTTCTATATTCTTTGATTGAACGCAGCATTTACCGGTACAGTTCATGCAAAGTTGTGTTGGAATTACGTTGATACTGTATGACACTGTATGATGATGGTTCTATTAGTTCCAATATGTAGGATTTTCACGTTAGTATATTCCAACTTCCAAAGATCACATTACCAGTTGTTAAATTTTTAAAATTGCTATCATCCTGCAGCTTTATTGAGGTTTGGAACTGTTATGTGATATATTTATTAGCATGCAATTTTATAAATTGCATATTTACGAAACATTACTGTAATTTAGAACAGCCGCACATGCAGCTTTGTTGGAAAATCATTCGTAAGTGTAAGTAAATGAAATTTTAACAAATAATCAAATAGAAATCCAAAACATTCAGAATTGCTGGAAAAATCATTGAAATTTGATGTTTAGTGCATAGTACCTATAATTCACAAAGTCCAGCCAATCAACTATTTCACATCATATTCCCAAGACCCCAATAAATCTTAACACATGATATCAGAGAGCAATTTTAAATCTTAAAACTATTTAAACTGAAATGAGATCTACTATTGACACAACAAACCCATTCCCTTAATTTCTATAAATATTTATAAATTTGAATGGCAGTTGAATCCAACCAACCAATCAACAAGCGTAGTTTAGTAATGATGTCATT